GAGTTCTTATTATAATTTTCATTAAAATAAAGTATATTTATAATGCAATGCCTTTATCACTGCTTAAATACTATGAAATATGTTGCGTGCCTTATTCTGTGTAAGAAGCCACATCATCTCACAGAAGGATTTATTTCAAACACTCGACTGATGTTATGAAGTGAGTTTGGAGTAAAAATTTTATTAAATGTGATATTTTCACATGCTTTCAGATGGAGCAGCATTTACTTCACATAGCCGTAGTTCACTGAGAAGCTATTGCAAACAGCTGTCATTATCGCAAACGATTTCTTTGATTTCAGAATCGCGATTTTTTTTGCATAACTTGTCAGTGAACTACGGCTATGTGCAGTAAATTCTGCTCCATCTGAAAGCACGTGATGATGATTTCCTGCTGATTACAGAACCGGCATTACTATCAAAATGCGCATGACAATCGCATTCGATTAATCGTGCAGCCCTATGAAAAACTAATTGAAATACAACTGAAATCACAATATTGGGCAATTATCAAATTGCACAGGCTGCAATTTAATTGAATATGAGCTGCACATTTCAAAATGAAGAGCAACATTTACACACATTCGAAAGTAATGCATATGACTAGACTATTTATTTTTATTTTTTTAAGTAATAGTGGGTTTGAATAAAAATTAGCAAAAGTTACGATTAGACATGTTGACAATATGCCAACGATAACTGTTAAGAGAAAAAAAATGATCCAACCGCATGACGGAGCAACCGATTAACTGCTCGTATGTGCTCTATCATGGATTGTAATGTAGAACATATCGCTAGTCCTAAGCAGCTATTCACAGAGAATGCGTTTTTACATTGAAAAACAAGACGGGCAGTGGAATGGGAAAAAACACAAGGTTATGAGACAAGTTGAACTTTTTGAACTTGAGCATTGTGTTTTTAGAATGCCACCTAACGTGAGAGATACTTGCACGTTCGAGTTGAGGAACGCACATATAAAAGGAGCATACGTTTGTAACCTCGCCAACAGAAATCCATCTTATAGATATCAGGAAAATTCACTCGCTTCATTACACTGCGTATTCATGCAGGGTTTTTCTTTTTTTGAGTGCAGAAGTCTTTGCCGGAGATCAGGTTGCAGACAACACTAGCGAAGCCATGAATTATGTTATGATCATGAGTTATGCTTTAGATTAGCTATGAAAAGCTATCGATAAAATTTTTATCAAACTATCACGTTTATTTTTCAAATCCACTGGTCACAACTGAAAGCCGAACTCAGAAATAACTTGTATCCATCAGGCAGGCAATAATATAAAGTAATAACCAAATTAAATACATGTTAAATAAATTAAAGTAATGGAGAAGCGGCCAAATCAGTCAGCAGGACGCCGGGATTTTCCTGACTGGCTGCATGGCTGCAGGCTGTGCACACATCAATGCCGTTTATGTTCGGGTCCAGTCGGGTTTGAAAATAAATGCAGTCGGGTCGGACTCAGGTCTAATTTTATCGGGTCTGTCTCGGGTCGGGTTTTTCTTTTTGAAAAAATAATTTATGCACGTCGGGTTCGGGCAAGAAGTGATTCGGGTCAATTCGGGTCGGGTACAGATTTTAGGACCCGAGAAGACCTCTAATACAAAAACATACACAGAGCCAGAAAACGGGGTAAAACAAGAGTAAACACTGGCAGTGTTTTACAAGATGCAGGAATTTGATGAATGTCTTGGTTTCAATCAGTTCGACAACCTTGCAGAGTTTCTTCTCGACAGGTAAGCTAAACTTAAAGTTAAAATTATTCCTAATAGGTTGGACTTTTTATTAAAGGAAGCCTACTTTTACTTGTTGAGATATGCCTTCACTTTTATAGACCCATAAGAGCTGTGTTTGTGATGTTTGAGTTGGGGGAGGAGTGATGTGCAAAAGGGTATTTGAAAAGGTTTACTAGTTTTGTAGTTTGATTATTTTCACAGAAACTGCATACTCCACCTTGTAAAAAAAAGGCCAGATCACCTATTGCAGAAATAATTCAATAGCCATAAGCCATTATGGGGGACTGGCATCCCCCAAACTGGCATCAGCTAAATAAAAGTGCGGTGAGGAGAGTTACAACCAGAGCATGTGAGCGAAGCGGAGCGGTGGACGTGCGCTCCGCTCAGTCGCTCTAACCGCACAAGCAAGCGCTCCGTTAATATTCTGCTCGCGCTCACCATGAACCAATTCCCGCTCAGATCCCGCTCCGACATAACATTTCTCTAGTAGGCCTAATTGTTTACTGTTTGTAACGAAATTCTTGGATTATTGTCTAAAATTAAGCATGCTGATAAATAGCAATTATGTTTCAGAGCGAAATTCTTTAATTAATTTTATTAATTGTAATGTAT